GACCTTGCCCAGTTGGCGCTGGCTCAGTTGGCACTTGGCGTTTGCACTGTCATGGGGCCTGCGTCAGCACTGGCAGCTGCATGCGCCGGGCCATCGTTATCCTCATCCGGATCCCAATCTGCTTCCTCGGCGGCGGGGCAAAATTTAATCAATTCTGAGCAGCTCTCGTGCGTGGCTCATGAAACTGCACTAACAATGATTTTAAAAAAAGAAACGCCAAAAGCGAAAGTGGAATAATACCGCCAAGGCGCACTGAGAAGGTCTGCCTCCCCCGCATTACCTTGCTTGTCCTCGCCCTCCTCGTCTTCGTCCTTGGCGTTGTCGCCTGCTGCGGCTTCAGTGGGTAGCTTCATCCTCGGTGGTCGAAGCTGCCGCCACTCCAGACCTGGCAGAAGATGCGCCACATAGTCGCAGAAGAGCTTCCAAGCATCCCTTGCGTGCTGCCCTTTCACCGTGACTCTGGAGAGGTGCGGCTGTTTCTTTTTCTTCACCTTTATCATGCAGCCCAGGTCCTCAATTTGGGTTCGCACCTCTTGGTAATGCTGGCCCGGAGGAAGGTCTGTGAGCGCAAGCGGGACGCAGCCGTAGACAAACTCGTCGTCAGGAAAGTCTTGCTGCCACGCGCCTTGCTCCGGAACTCGTCTGGCCGCCTTGCGGCGGGACTCGTCTGCCTCGTCACCTTCATTCTGCCAGCGTCCGCGCCTGCCTGCTCCTTCATCCTGCCACTGCCACCCGTCGCCGTCCCAGCCGCGCCACCACCTAGACCAAGATGACCAGCCCCAGCCGCTCATGGCAGCGAATCGACTGCAATGCTGCGTGGGCCGCCCATTTTTTGAGCAGTGTGCAGCAAACCAACTTCAAGCCGACCAACCCGCCCTGGTGCCAATGCGGCAATGACACAACCAACTTGCTACATCCTGCAGGCCGCATTTAAGCAAAGGTGTTCATGTTGGCGACTTACGTTCGCCCCTTAGTGTTGAACCACAAGCAACTTCAAGCACAACCGTCAGTTGAACTTAGCACGCTTGCAACCGCACAGCGCGCCCAGCAAGACGTTGATTTTTTGCCCCTTGGCAAAGTCAACTGCTCGCTCCGCCTGGCCGTTTAAGGCCTGACTGAAGGCCTAGACAATAAGTAGACCTCATGGTCTCCACAATAAGCTGCTTAGGTCACGTGAGGGGGCACGGCAGGAGCAACACGACATTGAATAATCCCAGAAAACTCAGCCAAACGCGCCAGAGCAGCGCTGCCAGCATCGAGGTCCTGCAGGGGCTGCTTGACTCTGAAAACTAAACAGTGGCAGAATGTTCCGAAGGGGCAAAATTAATACAAAAGCCCTAATTTACCGAAGGGGGCGTCGGTAAGTTGGGGGGAGTTGGGGGATTCCAAAAAAACTCTCCATGTGACTGTGAGCGCCTATGCTCGGTTAAGAACACATATCTCACATGAGAAACGTGTGTGTGTGAAAACAGCCAGCAACAGCAAGCAAAGTGCTTGAAGGAAACTGCTCCTTGCCCACTTTCCTCCAACCAGATCCTGATCTCGATCCGCCAGCTGCTCCTCAAGTCCTGCCAGGGCAGCAGGCGGGCCAGGGGGGAAACGCGCATCTAAAGAATGTGCCTACGAGCCATACCAACATACCACCAAACTAAGACAGGGCCGTCTTGGCCTTCTCCAGCTACCGTTTCGCAATAGAAGTATGAGTGAGGGGTACAACCACCTTCACTTACTGTGGAGCTGATTGTCTTGCAAGTCGGCACGTGCGACATCTCAAGTTGTCAAAGATTGATGGGCAAAGCTGGCCTTCTGAGACTTGGGAAAAGCAATTTTCGAGCCGCCCTGCCCCCCCCCCCCTCCCCAGGCGCCTGCAGAGTGGTTGTACCCTGCTGCCCCTGCCCTGCGCGCACTCCCAGCCTTGGGCAAGCCTCTTGGCCTGCAGTAATTCCCAATTCCTTGCTGCAGCACGGCTTTTGGAAGCGGCGCCTGTAAATTGCCACGCCAGCCCAACATGACACAAGCAAATGCAAGAATTTGCAAGATTCTCGCTCCCAACCTTGTCCGTTGCAAAGCTCAGGCCGTTATTAATTTCAACAGGTTCTCGATCTGAACTTGGGTGAGGGGTACAACCACCTTCACCAAACACTGAGGGTCTTGCAACTTCGGCGGCCTCCGGCTAACAACCGCCACACATTCACTTATGCAAGCTTAAAGGGGAGTCTTCCCCGAAAGCCGAGGCATCAATCATGGTCCGTATTCGCACTTTGCACTGTTTGCTGCGCGGCCACAAACACGAGCTCAGATGGGTGTAGAGCGAGCTTATGCCTTGCTTCCAATTTGGGAGTGGTATATGTGCGGATCCATTTTCGGATTTCTGCGATTGGTTCTTCATGATGAATCAGATGACTTCGTGCCTTCCATGTAGTGCGGGCCTTCCTCTGTGCTTGGTCAGAGCACAGGCTGCTGGCTGCCAATCCGGCTTGAGTCGCGGTTGCTCCCCTTCTTCATCTGTTTTTGGGGTTGATTTCCCAACTGTTAACAACTTAAATCTTGGTTTGCCTTCGGACCCTTGAGCCGGAAAACAACGGGATCCACATGCCATGGGGAGTGAGGCTGGTTTGCTTTTGGGTTCCCGGGCTCCTCTTGTTTTACGTGGCCGACGAACCCTCTGCGGAGATTGTGCGTGTCGAATCGCTCTCGCTGTGGCGCCGTGCGAATTTTCTACGTGGCCGACGAACCCTCTGCGGAGATTGTGCGTGTCGGATCGCTCTCGCTGTGGCGCCGTGCGATTTTTTTTACGTGGCCGACGAACCCTCTGCGGAGATTGTGCGTGTCGAATCGCTCTCGCTGTGGCGCCGTGCGAATTTCAAAGCTCGCCGACGAACCCTCTGCGGAGATTTGTGCGTGTCGGATCGCTCTCGCTGTGGTTTTCGCAAAACTTAAGTACAAAAGTAGTACGCGAAGCACGCTCCCGCAGCTCCGGCCTGAGAATGCAAGTTTTAAGTAGAAAAGTAGTATGCAAAGTACGCTCCCGCATCTCCGGCCTGAGAATCGCAAATTTTAAGTAGAAAAGTAGTACGCGAAGTACACTCCCGCAACTCCGGCTTGCAAAAAAGGGAGAGAAAGAGACAGAAGGAGAAGGAGAAAGGGAGGGAGACAAACCGAAAGAGAAAGAGAAAGAGAAAGAGAGAAAGAGAGAGAGAGCGAGAGAAGGAGAGAACAAGAGAAAGAGAAAGAATGAGGGAGAGAGAGAGAGAGCAAGAGAAAGAGAAAGAGAAAGAGAAAGAGAAAGAGAAAGAGAAGGAGAGACAGAGAGAGAGAGCGAGAGAAGGAGAGAGCAAGAGAAAGATAAAGAAAGATAAAGAAAGATAAAGAGAAAGAAAAAGAGAGAGAGAGAGAGAGAGAAAGAGAAAGAGAAAGAGAAAGAGACAGAGAGAGAGAGAGAGGGAGAGAGACAGAGAGAGAGCGAGAGAGAGAAAGAGAAAGAGACAGAGACAGAGAGAGAGAGAGAGAGAGAGAAAAAAAAAAGAGAGAGAGAGAGAGAGCGAGAGAAGGAGAGAGAGAGAGAGAGAGCGCGAGAAAGAGAGAAAGAGAGAAAGAGAGAGAGAGAGAGAGCAAGAGAAAGAGAAAGAAAGAGAGAAAAAGAGAGAGGGAGAGAGAAAGAGAAAGAGAAAGATAAATATAAAGGTAAAGAGAGAGAGAGAGAGAGAAACAGTGAACATGAATAATATCATAGATATACCATAACATTATTGCATTACCTTTCTCATATTCGCTTTCGGGATAATCGGTGTCTAGTTCATGTTTTTCTTCAGTTCTCCCCTAGCATTCACCTTTATTACTCACCTAGTATTTTCTGAGTACTCCCCTAGTATTGCCCTGGTATTCCCCTAGTGCCCTAGCCAGGAAACCTGAGAGGTCAAACAAACTGAGCCCGAGAGTATACCCCTCGTATTTGTCAGGATTCCCCTAGCATTCTCCTAGTATGTTCCTTTAGTATTCCCCTAGTCTTCCTTGAGTATTTCCCGAGTATTTGCCCTAATATTCCTTTAGTATTCTCTTGGTATGCCCCGAGTATTTCCTAGTAAGAGAAGGGGAATACTAGGGGAATACCTTCAGTATTGCCCTAGTATTCCTTAAATATTATCTTGGTATACCCCTAGTATTCCCTCAGACTTCCCCTAGTATTCTCCTAGTGTTCACCTTTAATATCGCCCTAGTATTCCCTGAGTATTTCCTTAGTATTGCCGTATGATTGCCCTAGTATTCCCCTATTATTGCCCTAGTATTCAGTTAATTTAGTAGTCTCTTAGTATACCCCTAGTATGTCCACACTACCCCATAGTATTCCCTTGCTATTTCCCCTGCTAGAGGGATGGAATTACTAGGGGAATACCTTTAGTATTGCCCTGGTACTCCTTAAGTATCTCGTGGTATACCCCTAGTATTCTCTCAATATTCTCCTAGAATTCGTCCAGTATTCACCTTTAGTATTCCCCTAGTACTTCCCTAGTAGTGCCCCAGTATTGCCCTAGTCAGGAAGCCTGAGAGAAGTCAGACAGGTTGAGCTTGAGAGTATACCCCTAGTATTCCCTCAGTATTCCCACATACTATCCTAGTATTCACCTTTAATATTGCCCTAGTATTCCCTGAGTATGTACCTAGTATTGCCCTAGTATTCCCATAGTATTGGCCTAGTACTCCTTTAGCCCTAGTGTTTCCTCACTAGCCCCCTAGTGTTCCCCAAATATTTAACTAGTCAAGGAAGGGGAATATTCGGGGAATACCTTCAGTAGTATCTAACTAACTAGGCAGCTAAATAGATGACTAACTGATTAGCCAATTAACTAGCTAACTGGCTTTAGAGCTAGTTCATTACATCTATTTAACTGATATACATACATATAAGCAAATGAAAGATACGGATGTCCCGAATCCCAAACCAAAAGGTCAAAAGGTGAAGCCTTCAAACGCTACAACCCTCTCGGCGAAAGCGCTCCAGCCTGGGAGGGATCGCAGCTGCTCCATCTCCTCAAGGAAGACCTGGCGATCTAAGAATCGCTGCCCGGTTTCAGATCCCCTGGCAACCCAACCACTAAACTAAACCAGCTTTTAGTGAGTTAAATACGAACACCCCGACTAAAAAGTTGAACTTTTTGCGGCTTAAATACGGAAACCCAACCACGAAACCAACTAAGAAGAACTAAACACATCTAACAAGCTAAGGGACCGGATGGCCGGGAGTCACCAAGATAGATGGACGTCGGGACATGAACGAGCCAATATGAGTCATTCGAATCCATCGAACGCTTCAACCAGACCTAAAACTCGAGCAACGTCAGCAGGATCTACGTGTTCATTTTTGGGTTTTGGTAACTTAATGGGTATATATATGGGTATACTTGCAGCAGCTAGTTCTTGGGGAGGTCCGTTTGGGGACACGAACTACCACACCAAACTGAGAGAGCTAAGTCCATGTGAAGAACCCCTATTCGGACCGAACTATGTTGACGTGAGTTCACCCGGCTGCGGTCCCGTTTTTTTTTGAAGGACTTCCCCCCACCAAAAAAGGAGAGAATGGGTTTGCCTCCGGGGTTCCCTGGGCCCCAACTTGCCTCGCCAGTGTCCAATATTTTACGGGAACCCACCAGCGGTGAACCTATCTACAAGGCACGAAAACGATGGGTGCCCCCAAGATCTGGTTGGCTTGGCAAAGTTGGCTTTGTTGGTGAGGAGATTCAGTACACAAGGGTTGAACTTCTAGCCTGACTTTGGTCATACAACCACGCTGCATTCGGCTCGATTGCTTAGGCCCTCTCAATCGATCAACATGGAGACCTGAAGTAAGCCGCTTGGGCCAAAACAAGGCCTCAGTTGGGGGAGGCCGCTGACGGAGGGGGGGGGGGGTTTAGGCTTGCCAAAATAAGACTCATTAGACCTTGATTCGCCCATAACATAGAGTTGCACGCCGTACATAAGTGAAAGCATGTTTCGGTTTGCAAGTACTGTAGAGTAGGGGTTAAAGGCGGGGTACTTTGAAACGAAACGTAGCCCGGTATCAATTGACCTATCCAATCCGGCCACACAACCCATGGATGGAATCGAGAACTCAGTTTCAAGAGCCACGGGCTTTTGGGGGGCAGGCGCCACTTGCATGGAAGCATGGAAGAGGGTAGGCAATCCCGAAAGACCACCAACAACGTGGGTGCCACTGCCAGCAGCCCCTAACTGCTGCTTTTTCAACCATGTCCAAACTCCCCTTTGCCGTACTCTTCACAAAGCAGTGGTTTGGACTCGGGTGGTTTCCATCAGCGCCAAACAAGTCGCAATCTCATTCTCTCTCGAGCTGTCAAAAAGGGCGCCAAGCAGCTCGCTCGGGAAGAGCGCTCTCTCTTTTCACTTGCAACCCTTCAGAATCTCACATTTCACTTTCACTCCATGGATTTGTTCTGGGTATGTCTGTTTTGGACACCTGGAAACCGAAAAGGCAACCTGTGCTGAAAAGGAACACCCAAAAGTGCTTTTCAGACTCCCCACCTAAAATTAACTTGTTGTGGGACCCCCCCCGCCCGGAACCACTCCCCATCCCCATTGCGTCTGCACTGTTTGTGGAAAGCTTTGAATTCTTGAACATGTCCCAGATGCGGACGCGGGCAGATGCGATGCGCAGTCTTCCAGTTTAGCGTCCAGATGTTGGGTTTCATGAAAAAGCGCACGCTCAGGGAAACATGTTCTGACCAACAAAAAGAAAAACAGGATATCTACCCCCTCGAGAACTTTGAGACCCCAGCCAAAACTTCTCACCCTGGTCGAAGAACGATTTGGGACCTGTTCCCGGTCCAAGGCCACAAGTGCTTTCAGACTCCAAATTCCCTAAAGGGGAGTTGGGCTTGCTTCATAGGCCATGGAACCCAAGTTTTCTGGGCCTTGCTGGGCTTCCCTATGGTTGGCATAAACCCCATCTAAACCCATCCATGTTTCACCAAACTAGCCTAAAAAGGACCCCCACGTGTGGTGGTTGGGTTTTGCTTGGTTTCCCCGTCCAACTTACAAAGGCTACTTCGACGGAATCCACGCGGCCTGAAGAAGAAGCGCTTGGTCCGGTGCCCGTGTTGATGGGAAACTCCACAAGTTGGTGCTGTTTCAGGTTGCTTCAACAAGGCAGCTGATGTCCTTTTACAACACCAAAAAGGGTAATCTCAACAACACTAAGCAGGGAGATCTCAAAAAACACCCCCCCCCCCAAGGTTTTTTGGTGTCTCCACGTCTTTTGCCAGACCTCTCGCCTAAGACGCAGCGCGCAACACAGCGCCTCCGCGGCTTTCGGGAGCTGGAGGAAGCCTCTGCCGTCCGGCGCCACGCCTTCAACACCCAGCCGGCGCAAAAAAAGGGTTGGCTTCGTGGCTGGTTGGCTTGGCATGGACGCACAAGTTTTGGCTTGGCTGGTTTTCGACCGCCAAATTTGCCTGGTTTGGGTACCAAAAAGCAGTGCCGGGAAGGGGGGGGTACGGTTACCAAAAAGCAGTTGGGGGGCGGGGTGCTGGCAGCGTCTGGTTCTGCAAAGATCATTGTGAAGAGTTAGGCCTATAACTCCAAAAGACCGGGCAGAACCTAGAACCAGGGGTTTTAGGAAACTGCTATGGAGAAACGAGAGAACAAAGGAAACCCGCTGCACCCTGCGGTTGCTTCGTCTAGGTCCATGTCCAGAAAGCAGTTGTTGAGGAGTTCAGGCCTATACTCTCGTGGCAGTTGAAATATCTAGGAAAGTCAAAATCTCGGCCAAACGTCGCCCTCCATGTGATACGCCTCAGGTGACATGGTGTTTCACTGTAGGAGTTAGGGGCTCCTAACCCTATGCGTACATGATACATGCAAAACTATATTATGTACAATCACGTTCTACAGAATAGACATATTCCCTCTTTCCGAGTTCATCCGCCCACCTACTTGAATGGGCAACCCTTGCTCACGAAAAGGGTCCTTCTGGCTCGCCATGGACATGAAGTCCTTGACCCAAATACATGGGTTTGTGTCAAAACGGACCGTGGACCTGCCGCCATTTCTGCTGGGGGAATGCGAGGTTTCACCTGAAGCAGCAAAGGGCGTCTTGTTCACAAGCCCCTCTTACCTTTGCCCGTGAAACCAACCCCAAAAAGGCCACCCCACCCCCCACAACAAAAAACACACACAAACACAAACACACACAGCCTCTGAAAGACATGGTGTCTACCCATAAGAGACCCGCCTATGTTTCACTTTCCGTCTGGCTTTCCTTTTAAACCCGAAAAGGGTAGCCTGCCAGCTGTGCTGGACACCCAGCAGAGTTGAATAGACTGCTTTGAGCTTATGAATTCACATCCAGCTCCCCTATAGTCATGCGCAACTTGGGCAATTTTGGGGCTGGCTTAAAGGGGAAAGAAAAACAAAACAAACAAAAAAAACCGTCCTTTTTTACGCGTTCTTTGGCCCTCTCTGGCACCAATCCTCCTTGATCAGTTTCACTTCCCATGGCCTCATGCTTTTAGGCCCCCGGCGCAGCGCCGAAGTGGCCGACTTGAGCTGCACAGAGCCGTCCTCCCGAACCCCCAGACCCCACCATTCCAACCATCCCCAACCCCCCACCACCGTGTTTTGGACATGGCCCAAAAGAAGTCACCGAACTCTTTTTTTCGCGTTTAAGCCTCTCAAATGGTCCAAGCCCAAAAAGTGACTAAAGTCCAAATTCTCAGGAAGTGAGGACAGTACTTGAGTCACACTCAAAACCCGGCATTGACAGAACCATGCTTCAAGAATTCTTCAGCGGGCGCACCTGTGGCTGGAAGTGTTGACTCCCTCCAAGTGCCCGAGCTTCGACTCTGAGCATTGGAAGAAACAGTTGCTGGCGGGGTGTTCGAGGAAAGCCTCCGGCGCCCGAAGAGAAACAACACAAAACAAACTGGAACACGGAGCGCTCTCCGTAAGCTTACGGGATGACTTTTTTTCCGGGTAGAACAAATATGAAACAGAATCTGACCGTACCATCTTGGAATGTTCGATTTTCTTGTGGGCCAACCTTCCAAGGCTCCTGAACCTTATGGGCAATTGGCCAATGGCAAATATATTTGTGGGACCCCTATGGGCACAGTTGTTGTGTTTTTGTGTGTAAGGCCAGCAGCACGGCCTTAAATCAAGTTTGGCCTCCCCAAACCGTTTGAATGAGAAACCTTCTGGGCAAGGACGGAGAGGGCTCACCCGCGTGTCCGAATTCCCCATTTTAAGGGGTGGAGTGGCAGGGATCCTTACATTATACACCTAAACATCGCCTTCTAAATGGTGGTTTCCCTTGGTGGAACATGCTTCAAACGCTTCAAATGGTTCCTTAAAGGTCACCTCCCCCCGTCCTTTCCCGGGCCCTAAGGAGCCCGTTGGACACCCCGCTTTTCCGGCCGCGGGGAGCGGAAACCGGTGCCTCCGCCTTGGCGCAGCTGGCCACGTTCAGCGCGTGGAGCCCTCGCGACTCGAAGAGCACCTGCTCCACCTGGCGATTCCCTCGACACCCCAAAATGGGACCGCTTCCAAAAACCATTACAAGAATAGTCTAGGGACATTACTTTTTAAGCTTTTCGCTTTTAAAATGGTTGAGACTATGTAAAGAATAGTCCAGGAAGCAGAGGGGGGTCTCCGGGCCATGGTTGTTCTGGGAGTCTTCTGAAACCACGACTCCCCAAAACCTTGGAGCCTCCGGTGGGTTTTTTTGCACGCCTTGTGAGGAGAGATGGTTTTTGGCAGGTGAGAAGCAAGTCCAAAGGGTAACCAACCGACACCCCCCCAACCACCGCTTTTGCTGTCCCAAAATCACAAGTACTGCCCGTAGAGCAGTTGTTGGGACCCGGGCGCGAAGGAGTTTCTGGAAGCCGGAAGCATCTCTCTTGAGGGCCCTTCTGAAGGGCTTTAACGTGTGTGTGTGTGTGTGTGTGTGTGTCTGTGTGTCTGTGTGTCTGTGTGTCTGTGTGTCTGTGTGTCTGTGTGTCTGTGTGTCTGCGTGTCTGTGTCTGCGTGTCTGCGTGTCTGCGTGTCTGCGTGTCTGTGTGTCTGTGTCTGTGTCTGTGTGTCTGTGTGTCTGTGTGTCTGTGTGTCTGTGTCTGCGTGTGTGTCTGTGTCTGTGTGTCTGTGTGTCTGTGTGTCTGTGTGTCTGTGTGTCTGTGTGTCTGTGTGTCTGTGTGTCTGTGTGTCTGTGTGTCTGTGTGTCTGTGTGTCTGTGTGTCTGTGTGTCTGTGTGTCTGTGTGTCTGTGTGTCTGTGTGTCTGTGTGTCTGTGTGTCTGTGTGTCTGTGTGTCTGTGTGTCTGTGTGTCTGTGTGTCTGTGTGTCTGTGTGTCTGTGTGTCTGTGTGTCTGTGTGTCTGTGTGTCTGTGTGTCTGTGTGTCTGTGTGTCTGTGTGTCTGTGTGTCTGTGTGTCTGTGTGTCTGTGTGTCTGTGTGTCTGTGTGTCTGTGTGTCTGTGTGTCTGTGTGTCTGTGTGTCTGTGTGTCTGTGTGTCTGTGTGTCTGTGTGTCTGTGTGTCTGTGTGTCTGTGTGTCTGTGTGTCTGTGTGTCTGTGTGTCTGTGTGTCTGTGTGTCTGTGTGTCTGTGTGTCTGTGTGTCTGTGTGTCTGTGTGTCTGTGTGTCTGTGTGTCTGTGTGTCTGTGTGTCTGTGTGTCTGTGTGTCTGGGTGTCTGTGTGTCTGGGTGTCTGTGTGTCTGTGTGTCTGTGTGTCTGTGTGTCTGTGTGTCTGTGTGTCTGTGTGTCTGTGTGTCTGTGTGTCTGTGTGTCTGTGTGTCTGTGTGTCTGTGTGTCTGTGTGTCTGTGTGTCTGTGTGTCTGTGTGTCTGTGTGTCTGTGTGTCTGTGTGTCTGTGTGTCTGTGTGTCTGTGTGTCTGTGTGTCTGTGTGTCTGTGTGTCTGTGTGTCTGTGTCTGTGTGTCTGTGTGTCTGTGTGTCTGTGTGTCTGTGTGTCTGTGTGTCTGTGTGTGTGTCTGTGTGTCTGTGTGTCTGTGTGTCTGTGTGTCTGTGTGTCTGTGTGTCTGTGTGTGTGTGTCTGTGTGTCTGTGTGTCTGTGTGTGTGTGTGTGTGTGTGTGTGTGTGTGTGTGTGTGTGTGTGTGTGTGTGTGTGTGTGTGTGTGTGTGTGTGTGTGTGTGTGTGTGTGTGTGTGTGTGTGTGTGTGTTTGTGTGTTTTGTGGTTTTGTGGTTTTGTGTTTTTGTGTTTTTGTGTGTTTGTGTTTGTGTGTTTGTGTGTTTGTGTGTTTTGTTGTTTTGTGTTTCTGTGTTTTTGTGTTTTTGTGTTTTTGTGTTTGTTTTGTGTTTGTGTGTTTGTTTTTGTGCTTTTGTGTTTTTGTGTTTTTGTGTTTTGTGTTTTTGTGTTTTTGTGTTTTTTGTGTTTTTGTGTTTTTGTGTTTTTTGTGGTTTTGTGTTTTTTGTGTTTTTGTGTTTGTGTGTTTGTGTTTGTGTGTTTGTGTGTTTGTGTGTTTGTGTGTTTGTGTGTTTGTGTTTTTGTGTTTTTGTGCTTTTGTGTTTTTGTGTTTTTGTGTTTTTGTGTTTTTGTGTTTTTGTGTTTTTGTGTGTTTGTGTTTTTGTGTGTTTGTGTGTTTGTGTGTCTGTGTGTTTGTGTGTCTGTGTGTCTGTGTGTCTGTGTGTCTGTGTGTCTGTGTGTCTGTGTGTCTGTGTGTCTGTGTGTCTGTGTGTCTGTGTGTCTGTGTGTCTGTGTGTCTGTGTGTCTGTGTGTCTGTGTGTCTGTGTGTCTGTGTGTCTGTGTGTCTGTGTGTCTGTGTGTCTGTGTGTCTGTGTGTCTGTGTGTCTGTGTGTCTGTGTGTCTGTGTGTCTGTGTGGGTGTGGGTGTGGTGTGGGTGTGGGTGGGTGCGTGCATGCGTGCGTGCGTGCGATGTTGTTTTAGGAAACCCAATTTCGGGGCTGTTTGCGCCCTCACTTGCCCAGTTTGGACCTGGAATCTAAAAGACATTTGGCCTTTTGGAACCCTGACATCTTTGGGCCAAACCAGGAAAACCAAATGGTTACATCCGGAGGATTCGCTTGGGGCGTTTGTGAGTGATTACATCCTCTCTGGGAATCTTGAACCACAACTGGGGATTTTCCGTGGGCTTCTACACCCGGAGCTGAAAAGGTGCACGTAGGATTTCACCCCCCAAAACCCAAACCGGGGCCACCCCGTTGCACCCAAAGACGCGAACGAACGAACGAACAAACTATACAACGCGGCCTTTGGAGGAAACCACTGAGTAAACCGAGGCTTGACCGAAACGCTTGACCGAAACCCTTCTGATCAACCCCCAAATGAAGGAACGGATACAGCCCTATGAAAGGGCACGTGCTCGCACTGGATCTTCAATCCATCATGCATGGCTTCTCAAACTCGGATTCCCCATGGCTCAACAGGCGAAACCTCTCTTCCCTCTGCGTGCGTGTCTGTGTGAGTGGCTGGATATGCCTTTGTTTTCATTGCTGAAGCCCTTGAACCAAACCACTTCTTTCCCTCGCCTCCGCCGGCCACCCGGCCAGCGGCACCCGAAACATCGGCCGCCTGGCGCAGCTCCTGGAAGCTGAGGCTGGGCAAGTCCCACAGCGCCCGCCTGCCGCACGTGCGGGCGTGGCGGGCGTAGCTCGCCGGGAGGAAGCGGTGAAGCGGTGAAACGCGCTCAGCGCCGGGCAGCGGATTTTTCGTAACCCCCAGAGAAACGAGGTGGGCCTGTCTTGTTTTGAGGCACCTCCGTGCCCCTTGCTTTGCTTTGGGTGGTTTAAAGGGAAACCAAAGGACGGCCATTCTCTCAAAAAACGGCCTTTGGACCCCGCACCCAACGTGACTCCCTCCCTCGAACTTCCGGACAATGTCCCTTTTGGTGGTGGATTGGCCGAAAAAACGTCCAGGAACTTTTTGTCTAAGCCACTAAAATGGTCCGAGCCCAAAAAGTGACCAACATCCAGAAACTCAGGGAGTGAGTGGACTACTCCAAGTTTCTGGACTTATTCAACATTTGACCATAGGAATGGCTTGTTGACCCGATGCTTATGTTGCAGAATTCCATTCGCTTTGATACCGGATGAGCAAAGTGGCCATACGAAGATCCGCCCAACTCTACCCTGAAGCTTGCCCCGCACGACGCATCGATGCAAAAATACCATCGCTGTACCATGTAGCCACTCTCCCTCGTAGCCTCACTCACAGCAAAACCAAACAGCTTCAAACCATATTTCAGCCCATGTTGAAGCATCCCAAGCTTGCTTACGCGGGCGCCGCAAAACAAACAAAGAAAACATGTACATGAAACACCCAGCTAAATTGCAAGCGCGAACATGATGCAGTTCGTGTTTGTATAAACCCTTTCATCTGATTCACAAATTCGCTGCCCGATGTGTTTTGCGCGGCATCATTTTGATCTGATTGACATGTCTTGTTTCAACACGCACGCAGACACACCGAAGTTCGCGGGGAGGTATCCACTTCCAAAGGGCCGCACAACCTACTGGCAGGATCCGCAAGGTGGACAAAGGCTGTGACTGCCTGCGAGTTGTCCTCTTTTGGCAATGGTCTTGAGTAGGTTTTAGTGCATCTTTGCTTGAGACAATTCAGTCATGGGATGTGTAGTCCGAAGACAAGCGGAGAACCCACATAGCGGTGGGGTCTCTGTTCGGCGGGTCTTCCGAGAGCGCGGAAACTGGTTCCATGGTGCTTGATGGGGTCCGTACGTAATTATGTTGGCCAGATTGTATCATGGGGGGGGTCCTTTTGGTTGCCTTAACCCTACCTGAAAACGGTACCCCTTAAGAGCACACACCCATGTTGCGCGGGTTGCCCAACGATTTGCTTATGGTATGAGAGCAGCTCGTGTGCCCCATGGCACGCCCCTAAGCAAATATGGCTTGTCTCAAAACAGGAAAGAACCCGAAATGAGTGGTTTTCTTTAGGTTTCCATTCAACACTATCCAAGAAGGGTACCTCAAAAACAACAGACACGTTGAACAAGTATCAATTAATCGTTGCGTATGAGAGGACCCCCATGTCCCAAAATAGCCTTCGCTCGGCTTTGGCAGACACTTCTCCGGACGACCAAATCGATCGGAGATAGATGCATGTGGCCCTGCCCGCACGCCCCAAACTGTTTTTCAACCACGTCCAAAATGCGCTTGTCACTGTCCAAACAGCAGTGATTGCTATGGGCGCGGGCTCTAAGGGGTTCATCAAAAGCTCCTTGCCTGGGTCCTCTAAATGGGAAAGCTAACCCTGGGACGCGGGGCCGAAGGGAGTATCAAGCCCCATGTGGAAACCGGCTCGATTGAGCCTCTGCGCTGTGCGCGCCGCTGCAGCAAACTCAAAGCCGCCGCTGCTTAGGATGGCGCCCGAGGGGGCAAAGGCGAGCGTCCTGCGTTTCCGAAGTGGATACGGGACTTCGTGTTCAAGATGTGGGTGTCGTTTTAGGTTGGACCCCACACAAATTGTGGGTTTCCTTTTGGTGTCTTTTTAAAGCCATCCAAGAACCGGGTACCCAGCCACCCATGCAATCCACCCAAACGTTCCCCATCTTGGTTCATGTGCAATGGATTCCCAGCTAGCGTGGTTCTCGGTTGATGTTGAAGGAGACCCACCCACCAAACAACATCTTTGCTGTTCATGTTGAAGGGACACCAATCTAACAACACACATGTCTGCTGGATGATGTTAACAAAACCCGCAGCCCAAACACATGCGAGTCGGGCCCGTTTTCAAGGGAGGCACCTGGGCCTTAGCAGTCAACAACATGTGGTACTAGACGGGTGTAAATCATGACGTTGTGGGGTGCGTCAAAACATAGCCATGACATAGGAGTAAACTAGTAGCGAGAACTGTGACCCTCACTTTATTTAATCCACCACCCAACTCAATAACTATCACATCAACAATAACTTGGAGACATCGCCGGTTTGTTGTGTTCAAACTGCAGACACAACCAACCAACCAACCAACCAACCAACCAAACAAACAAACAAACCAAACCAACCAACCAACCAACCAAGCAAGCAAGCAAGCAAGCAAGCAAGCAAGCAAGCAAGCAAGCAACGAACAAATCAAAGCAACCAACAGATCAAAGCAACAAATCAACCAACCAACCAACAATAACAAACAACTCAAAACAACCCACGAAAACTGCCAACCAACAAGCCCAAAGAACCACCAGCCAGTCAAAAATGAAACAAACCACGTTGTGACAACCCCCTGGTTGCACGGCCCGTTTTTTTCTTTCTTTCTTTTTTCTCGGCGCCTGGTGGGCGCCAGCGCAATGACTGCCAGGAGGCAGAAGATGGCCTCGGCGAGCTTGGAGCGGAGAGGGAGTTGGTCAGTTCTGATCCACGGGTTGCAATCCTGCGAAGTGCCGTCCGGTTTTTGCTTGCCGAATTGGCCCCACGGGATCAACACGGAGAGGTTTGAAACAGTAACCCTTGGTCTAGTTTTTCCGGGTCTCCAATGAGTTTTGTAGCATTTGACAGCGGGCGGTTGCAGGTTTGGGCGGACCTCAGCAAAATAATCATACAGGAATGCTCGGTTGCTTCCTGCTCCCCTGCTAAAAGTGACTAAGTTTTAGTGGTTTAATACGGAAAACCCATGAGTTGGCAAAAAGTTAAAGTCCTAACATCCAAGCAAAATGCACCTCTGTAACCAAATGGTGGGCATTCCGATGGGACAACTCGGCAAAAGCGTGTGTTGGTTTGTTTTACGGAACATGTTGGGTATCTCAGATGCCTGGATGTCCATGGGAAACAATTGGAATCCTTTTTGGTTCGTTGACTTTAAAGGAATCGGAACCCTTCCCCAAAAAAATGCTGAAAAAACCTGGGCAACTGGGGTATAAAAGGGAATAAAACGTAGGGCACTACGATGCGTATTGGTTATTGGTGTGTTCAAAGTAACATGCTAGAGTATCAACATGGGAACTAACATTGGCATGGTAGAACTGGTCTACCCTAAGCCATTGTACATAAAACAAAAAAAAAGGCAAACATCTGCACCTATCAGTTGAAGTTGGTGCCTTACCAACATTCTTAGAACATTTTACAATATGTCCCAAAACCTGAAATAAGAAGTGGATCCCCAAGAGAAGGATATCTTTTCCGTGGTGAGCGAGCTCCGCTTTACTTTCAGGTGAGCGCGCCGTAAAAATGCAGGTTGATTCGCTGAAGGGCGTTTGTGAGTTTAACAAAGTCCTGCCGAGGGGAATACATTGATCTTACCACCTCCATGGTTTGGGGGGCAAAAATAATTGCACAAGTCGGTCCAAATGCGGCTGTTTCCAACATAGGTGACGCCGTGCCCGGATCCTTTTGGCTTCCAACCTGAAAGATGGTCGTCCGGTCTTCAGACCCTCTCTGTTTCTTGGAGGATGTTTTTCTCGCACAGACTAGACATGAAGCCCCGCCTTAGGGCCGTGTGGACCCTCCAAGATGGACAGGGCGGGTCGGGGGTCGGGGTTGACAGGGCCCAATGGTTGGGTGACCTGTGAAACAGTGCATGAACGTGGCGATTCATTCAAAAATGTGTGTACTCCCGAAATACAGCTTTGCTAGATCTTTGCAACCGCTGGTATAGCAACACACTTTGTTGTTTGCAGCCCCCCACGAAAAATGAACAGAACCAAAAAACCGGAGTTATGGGAACGCAAACAGTCTTGTTTTTGTTTACCGGGTACTCCTCACTTCCGAACGAGTGGATGGGCCAAGAGACAGTCCAAACTTTTTGTCTTCTAGAATGTTCCAAACCCAAACAGCTTAATGTCCAGGAATTTCTTCGAGCGCAAAAGAACCCTCGCAATGATTGGGTGGAACAAACACTGACTCCTTTTCCAGCCCACCTGACTCCCAAATTATTTGTCAGGGATGCGATATATTTTTCTCGCCGTCTGGGTGAAGATCAGGAATCCACTTTTAGGGCATCGGGTTTGAGAGGGGTCCTTTTTGGGACAAGATGGCACATGAAAATCGAAGCAAGTTCAAGCTGCGACTGATGTTCAACTCCTGTGCTTGGAGTGTGAACAATCGAAATCAAAATGACTGGTCGGCCTCTATGGGTACATTCCCCCATGATGCAGCATGGGTTTCCATTAGTCCCCCATTGTGCTGCCACGATACAAGCCAATTTCTGAGTCGCTGGTTAAGGCCTTAAGGGGGAAACAACCCGCAGCGACACCTGGCTGTGGATCAAAAAAGACGGAAATCCACAATGGAACCCTGGTAAGTGGAAACATGGTGGCCAAAACCTGCGGTTTGCCCCTGCTTCATTTTGGTTGCCACACCCACCTAGAGTCCTATAGTCCCACCCCGAATCTCAAGCCCCGCCTTTCCGGTCATACTGTGGATGGTTGCGGAATCCTGCACCTAAGAAACCCTAGAATGATTTCCCAACAAACCATGGTCATAATTTTCTTGTTCCAAAGTGGTGCGATGGATTTCGTCCATCCACAGCTTTTACCCGGATCGAGGCCCCCGGCCCCGCCCACCAGGACTGCCAGCGAGAGGTAGCCTCGGATCTTAGCCCCGCGGGGCATTCAGTGACGTTCAGGGCGGAGAGACGACCTATGTACCAAATAATGGTTAATATGTAATGAATATGGTTAATATGCACCAAATGAAATATGGTTAACATGTGAGTTGATCGTAATATGGCTTGTGGCAAGAAACACAATGGCTACTATGGTAATATGTACATAGCCATGAGTACATAGTACCGTAGATCACGAGTACATATAGGTGGTGTAATCATATGTACTATAATATGTAAGTTGATGGTATGTAACGATATGGCTTGTGGCTATACACCAATCATGCTTCATCGGTGGGTTGAGGGTAGTGACAAACCCTCTTAAGCCATGGAATTCGTCAAAGGGCATATCCGCCTTTGGCTAAAACAATGCTTGGCGTGCCCAGAGGAAACTACCACTGTTGCAAAATGTCACCATGTATAAGTGTGCCTCTTTTAGAGGTCCCCGCAAAATGGTGGTTTTCCCGCAGGTGTTCCTTTAAAACTACAAAACAGATCCTTCCAGGCATTTCACTTCTCATGGCAGGTGTAGGGAGGCCAGGAATTCTCAAAGGATGCTCAAACTGGGCATGAAATTTCACTGGGGCCTTCGGGCGGTGATTTGTGTCCAGCCACTTTTCAGGGGAGTCCAGCTCTTGAAATTCAACCGGGAAGCCGTTTTTGGTTCAATCTATTTTGCTGCATTCCAGCATTTCCTCACATTGGCCTCTTTCAATGGGTGTGGTTCTCATGTTTACCTGGTTTAAAGGCAAGCCAACAGGAAAAACCACCACTTTTGGGGGCAACCCTATTTTCAGACTCCCCCAAATCGAGGGGGTGCACCAACCACACTTCACAACAGCTTTCCATACCATGACAGAAATTGCTCCTACCACGCCGCTGTCATTGAAATCTTGTCGTGGAAGGTACCCCCCCTGCCCCCAAGTGACTATTCTCAAAGTAAGGAAAAGTCGTGGGTTTTGTTGCTATGTTCGAAATTAAAGGGAAGCCAAAAGGAAACCCACCACTCTTGGGGGGCCAATTCTATTTTGAGACTCCCCCAAATCGCTAATTCTCAAAGTAAGGAACCAACATCCTGTCGTGGAAGGTACCCCCCCTGCCCCCAAGTGACTATTCTCAAAGTAAGGAAAAGTCGTGGGTTTTGTTGCCTTCCCTCGAGATGAAAGGGAAGCCAAACGGAAACCCACCACTCTTGGGGGCCAATTCTATTTTGAGACTCCCCCAAATCGCTAATTCTCAAAGTAAGGAACCAAAATCCTGTCGTGGAAGGTACCCCCCCTGCCCCCAAGCAAGTGACTATTCTCAAAGTAAGGAAAAGTCGTGGGTTTTGTTGCCTTCCCTCGAGATGAAAGGGAAGCCAAAAGGAAACCCACCACTCTTGGGGGCCAATTCTATTTTGAGACTCCCCCAAATCGCTAATTCTCAAAGTAAGGAACCAAAATCTTGTCGTGGAAGGTACACCCCCTGCCCCCAAGCAAGTGACTATTCTCAAAGTAAGGAAACGTCGTGGGTTTTGTTGCTCTTTTCGAAATTAAAGGGAAGCCAAAAGGAAACCCACCACTCTTGGGGGCCAATTCTATTTTGAGACTCCCCCAAATCGCTAATTCTCAATGTAAGGAACCAACATCCTGTCGTGGAAGGTACCCCCCCTGCCCCCAAGTGACCATTCTCAAAGTAAGGAAAAGTCGTGGGTTTTGTTGCTCTTTCGAAATTAAAGGGAAGCCAAAAGGAAACCCACCACTCTTGGGGGCCAATTCTATTTTGAGACTCCCCCAAATCGCTAATTCTCAAAGTAAGGAACCAAAATCCTGTCGTGGAAGGTACCCCCCCTGCCCCCAAGTGACTATTCTCAAAGTAAGGAAAAGTCGTGGGTTTTGTTGCCTTCCCTCAAAATGAATGGGAAGCCAAAAGGAAACCCACCACTCTTGGGGGCCAATTCTATTTTGAGACTCCCCCAAATCGCTAATTCTCAATGTAAGGAACCAACATCCTGTCGTGGAAGGTACCCCCCCTGCCCCCAAGTGACCATTCTCAAAGTAAGGAAAAGTCGTGGGTTTTGTTGCTCTTTCGAAATTAAAGGGAAGCCAAAAGGAAACCCACCACTCTTGGGGGCCAATTCTATTTTGAGACTCCCCCAAATCGCTAATTCTCAAAGTAAGGAACCAAAATCCTGTCGTGGAAGGTACCCCCCTGCCCCCAAGTGACTATTCTCAAAGTAAGGAAAAGTCGTGGGTTTTGTTGCCTTCCCTCGAGATGAAAGGGAAGCCAAAAGGAAACCCACCACTCTTGGGGGCCAATTCTATTTTGAGACTCCCCCAAATCGCTAATTCTCAAAGTAAGGAACCAAAATCCTGTCGTGGAAGGTACCCCCCCTGCCCCCAAGTGACTATTCTCAAAGTAAGGAAAAGTCGTGGATTTCTGAAAGGGAAGCCAAAAGGAAACCCACCACTTTCTATTTTGAGACTCCCCCAAATCGCTAATTCTCAAAGTAAGGAACCAAAATCTTGTCGTGGAAGGTACACCCCCTGCCCCCAAGCAAGTGACTATTCTCAAAGTAAGGAAAAGTCGTCAGATGAAAGGGAAGCCAAAAGGAAACCCACCACTCTTGGGGGCCAATTCTATTTTGAGACTCCCCCAAATCGCTAATTCTCAAAGTAAGGAACCAAAATCCTGTCGTGGAAGGTACCCCCCCTGCCCCCAAGTGACTATTCTCAAAGTAAGGAAAAGTCGTGGGTTTTGTTGCCTTTCGAAATTAAAGGGAAGCCAAAAGGAAACCCACCACTCTTGGGGGCCAATTCTATTTTGAGACTCCCCCAAATCGCTAATTCTCAAAGTAAGGAACCAAAATCCTGTCGTGGAAGGTACCCCCCCTGCCCCCAAGTGACTATTCTCAAAGTAAGGAAAAGTCGTGGGTTTTGTTGCCTTCCCTCAAAATGAATGGGAAGCCAAAAGGAAACCCACCACTCTTGGGGGCCAATTCTATTTTGAGACTCCCCCAAATCGCTAATTCTCAATGTAAGGAACCAAAATCCTGTCGTGGAAGGTACCCCCCCTGCCCCCAAGTGACTATTCTCAAAGTAAGGAAAAGTCGTGGGTTTTGTTGCTCTTTTCGAAATTAAAGGGAAGCCAAAAGGAAACCCACCACTCTTGGGGGCCAATTCTATTTTGAGACTCCCCCAAATCGCTAATTCTCAAAGTAAGGAACCAACATCCTGTCGTGGAAGGTACCCCCCCTGCCCCCAAGTGACTATTCTCAAAGTAAGGAAAAGTCGTGGGTTTTGTTGCCTTCCCTCGAAATTAAAGGGAAGCCAAAAGGAAACCCACCACTCTTGGGGGCCAATTCTATTTTGAGACTCCCCCAAATCGCTAATTCTCAAAGTAAGGAACCAACATCCTGTCGTGGAAGGTACCCCCCTGCCCCCAAGTGACTATTCTCAACGTAAACGTAAGGAACCAAACGCACCGAACCCAACCAAAACTTCCTGGTTCCAGCAGCACAGCACTCGCGGCAGAAGCTGCCGCCACTGACCAGAAAGCAGCGCCTCCCGCGACACGCGGCGGAGGTTGCCGTTGGTGTGGGGCGAGTCGGTTTGTTTGCAGTTTTCTGGTGGGTTTTGTTGGTTGGTTGGGCGGTTTGCTGGGCTTTTGGTTGGGTTTGTCGTTTGTTGCGTTGGTGGCTGGGTTGCTTGTGGGTTGTGTTTTGATGGGTTGTTTTGACTTGGTGGTTTGTTCGTCTGGGTTTCGCACATTCTGCACACCTCATGGGTAGATATAGAGGACTGGTCCAGTGTTGCCGTTTCTTCTGATGCCTTGTTGCCCCTGGATGTGTCTTTGTTGTCTTGGAATTTGGTGGCTTCTTTTGGAATACTCGCAATTCTTCTTCCAGCAACCCCCGAACAACTACATCCAAAAGCAGTGGTTGAGGGGGGGGAGGGGGCTCTAGTTGGGATTCTCTTCTGCCTGAGGAAACACAACAGAAAATCCAGGAGGTAGGAATCCACTGGAACCTTCACTGAGTCGCAACCCGTGAATGTCTACAAGAAAAGAACACGCTCGACACACAGGCGCAAAGGCGACCAACAAAAGAAAAACCAAGCCTTTGTGGGTCTCCAACTGGAAGTTCACCCTTTTCTCATCATGGCCATGCCTTGGGAAACATCTTTGGACCCAAGCAAGCTGAATTGGGAAATCGCCACAGTTGCAGGTCAACACTTGCATACTGTTCAAAATAATTTGAACATCCAAGTCCTTTGCTTGGATTCCGGGATATACATGTCATGCAGCTGAAAGACTTTGGGAATAAGGGCGAGACTCTGTTGAAATGGCCTTGAGTGGTTAGGAAGCAACTAGCAAATCAATTCAGCCCCCCAAATCCCTTTGTGGGTCAAGAAAACGTATCCCAAATGGGTCGCCCTGGTGAATGGAACCAAGGACTAAAACAAGCGGTCCATATCCTGGTGACTAAGTCTGACCCATACCCACTCATTTTCTGGGCGGTTTGACGACCTCAAAAAGCGACGACGCGCTTTTTGAGTTGGTACCCTTTTTGGGGTTGGTTTAAGACGCCTGGCAAACTAAAGGGGGGGGGGTCCGATTCCAATCTTGACACATACCCACCGCTTGCTGGCTGGTAAAGGAACATGTAAGCCTGACAACGGAGGCAACAGGCCATGCAAGATCGAGCACTGACAATAGAGAGACTGTCACGAAATGCATATCTTCCCAACCCCTATCACCAAAGACTTCATTCTCTTTGCAGTCCCAAACATTCACCACATCAGACAAGATTTGAAACAAAGCGCAAAGAAGGCCATATTCCCATTCTTTGTTTCACGGTTCCAAAAGCAAGATGAGTCATACTCAAACCCAGGTATTACTCTACCCAGAACCGTGCCTCACAAATCTTACAAACGGCGGCATTCCGCACCCATTGAGTTGAAATTAATCTCGAGCCAGTGGCTCAAATCTATCAACTCACTCGTCCAACGTCCCCAAAAAGCACACCAAAAAGCAGTGCTTGCGGTTAAAACTCAGGGGCCAACCCGTCATATCAGGTTGATTCCTCTTTTTCGCGCCAACCCGTGAATTCACTCAATTGAAAGCAACAGTGTTCCGACAGCCGCAGGGATTCTCCCCGACCCCACAAAACGTATGCTTGTGCTCCAGGTCCAGACGTGAACCTGTAAACGCACAATCATGTCTGGGCTGCCCTCAGATCCCCCGCTAAAAGTTTAACTTTTGGTGGGTTAAATGATGTTAAATGGAAACTACCACTCAACACTAAAAGGCTAAAAAGCCAAGGGGATGGCTGGGAGCCACCAAGATTTCATTTCAGAGATCAACAACCAATACATTGCCAGCATGACCACCCAATGTCGGAAAACAGCGCAGATTCTGCGCGTTGTCAAGCGGAAACCTTCCAGGGTTGGGCGATTTAAGGATTCAACCCCCCCTTTAAACGTGTGTAAAAAACCAACAATTGTTACAACCTGTGGGTGTCCCGTTAGAAGGGTCTTGTTGAGCCGCTGGAACCCAAAGAGAAAAGGGGGAAACGTACATGACAAACAGGAGGGAAACAATAGAAATTGCGGAATCCCTGGAGAGCCAGCATTGACATGGGAAACCGACCAAACTAGAAATAGGCCGACCAACCGACAGCAGCCCAGCTCGAAAACGGGCAACGCCGGCCACGCCGAAACCAAACGCAACGCCAAAACGAAAAGCGAAACACGAGGCACGCAAAACCCACGAGCGCCTGCGTGAGCGAAACCGGCTGGGCACGGGTGAAGGCTAGAAGCACCTGGCAACCGGGGGAAAAGATCTTGGGGAGGAAAAGGGAGAAGATCTCAGGGGGGAAAGGCCTTAGGGGGGAAAGGGGGGAAAGGATCTCAACAGGGAAAGGGGGGAAAAGATCTTAGGAAGGAAAAGGGAGAAGATCTCGGGGAGAAAAAAAAGGCCTTAGGCGGGAAAGGGGGGAAAGGATCTCAAAGGCAAAGGGTGGAAAAGATCTTAGGGAGGAAAAGGGAGGAGATTTCAGGGGGGGAAAAGGCCTCAGGGGGAAAAGTGGGGAAAGGATCTCAGCAAGGCAAGGGGGGAAAAGATCTTAGGGAGGAAAAGTGAGAAGATCTAGAAAGGCCTTAGGGGGAAGGGGGGAAAGGATCTCAAAGGGGGCAAAGCAAAGGATCTTAGGGAGGAAAAGGGAGAAGATCTCGGGGGGGAAAGGCCTTAGGGGGGAAAGGGAGGAAAGGATCTCAACAGGGAAAGGGGGGGAAAGATCTTAGGGAGGAGAAGGGAGAAGATCTCGGGAGGAAAATAGGGGGGAAAGGGGGGAAAGGATCTCAACCGGGAAAGGGGGGAAAAGATCTTAGGGAGGAAAAGGGAGAAGATCTCAGGCTGGGAAAAGGCCTTAGGGGGGGAAGGGGGAAAGGATCTCAACAGGGAAACGGGGGCAAAGATCTTAGAGGGGAAGGGTGGCAAGGGGACAATTCCAAAGGGACGCAAATGAGAAAGCAGGCCTGTAGTGTCGGCGGCCGGAGGCGTTAAAATATAAGCGTCACTGGGCATGCCCACAAGTGAAGCCAGCAGCAAGCCAGCCGCCTTTTCGCAAGCAGCGCGGATGGAGATTGAGATGATTCAGTGTGCAACCATCATTCAGTTGTACAACGTGCTACAAAAAACTTCTCGAGGAAGCTCAAAATCCCCCCAGTCGAGGACACACCCAGCCATTCAGAAACCACTTGTACTCGCACTCTTGACATGCACATTCTTTTGCTTGAATCTGCTTGCAGCCCGTCAGGGCGGCAACCCTCAACCTTCTCCCAGATATGGGAACGACCAAAGTCAAAGCACTGCATCCTGCGAAGGCATCCTCCTCAATCACGCAATCAGGGACAGTCACACAAGCTAAGGAGTTGCAGTTTTGAAAGGCATTTTTCGCAATCTGGGTCACTGAGTCAGGGATGGTCACACTAGCCAAGGAGCTGCATTCTGAAAAGGCACCATAGCCAATCTGGGTCACTGAGTCGGGGATGGTCACACTAGCCAAGGAGCTGCATCCTGAAAAGGCAAAATCGTGAATCTGGGTCACTGAGTCGGGGATGGTCACACTAGCCAACGAGCTGCAGCCTTCAAAGGCATCATTCTGAATCTGGATCACTGCGTCGGGGATGGTCACACTAGCCAAGGAGCTGCAGTATTGAAAGGCACCATAGCGAATCTGGGTCACTGAGTCCGGAATGGTCACACTAGCCAAGGAGCTGCATCCTGAAAAGGCAAACTCGTGAATCTGGGTCACTGAGTTTGGGATGGTCACACTAGCCAAGGAACTGCATCCTGAAAAGGCCAAATCGCCAATCTGGGTCACTGAGTCCGGAATGGTCACACGTGCCAGAGTGTCGCAGTCTTCAAATGCTTTTCGAACAATTTCGGTAGCACCGCTTGGGATTTGAACCGCAAATGCGGTCTCCAAGTC